TTTTTTTATTTTTTGCTCTCATTTTTGTTTTATTGTACTTACTCTTTCACAATACTGTATAGGAGCAACTTTCTCTTATCTTATGGAAAGTTATGTGCGCTGTAATAAGCTCATCTGTCCTAGTGTAAGACAAACTTGTCCAACTTCATAGCTGTCTAGATCTGTTATCCATTTAATTGTTGAATAATCCTGTAAGATCATTATTTAATATTACTTGGCATTAAAAATGGAAATAGGCAGTTTTGACTCATGATCTCATTAGCATGATAACTCAAAAATTATATGACAGATCTTTTTCAACCTTTGCAGACATGTTGTAATATTGAAGATCTGGACCTTTGAGACGAATCGCAAAAAATTTAAGCAGCACTGCATTCTGATAGCAAAGAGAAGGCCAGCTCAGATACTTCATCATGTCAGCATGATAACTCAAAAACGTGTCAGATCAATGGCAGTTAGTGACAGCAAAAAGAACGATGACTTAGATAAGACACTAACTTTGTAAACCGTTTCACTTTATTTGATATTACTCTGTTGACTCTATTTGATCTTTGATGCATCTTATTACCTGTTCAAAAAATCTACACCTGGTAGACCTGAGACCTCAACCCCAAAATTGAAACTGCAAGGACAGAGGACAGCAGAGGGTGGAAAGGGAGGCTTGCAGCCGCCATCTTGTGAACAGAGCCATCTGCCATCTTAACATATTCTGTGGATCTTTTTGCAAACTTCCAGGAACATTGTACAGGTCAGTGTTTCTCAAACTGTTGGCGAGAGATGATTTTCTGAATATTCTAAAATAAAGTTTATAGTTTTTTTTTTGTTGCCAGCCTGCCTGCTCAGTCAATTTTATCAGTAGCAGTTCAGCAGACAGTCAGCGAAATTCATTGCGGAGAACTTTATCATGCGGGATTTTAATTGTGTCACTCAGCCCTAGTCCAAGTCAGTGGTGGCTCTTAAAAGAACAAGTGCAGATATGGTGAACCTGACTAAATTAAGACAAGTGCTCCAGGGGCACCAGATAATTGACCTGAACCTGCACTCGGACCCCAAGCTTCAGTCTCACCTCTGTACACAGCCGCGGAAAAAATTAAGAGACCACCGCACAATTTTTTGTTTCACTCATTTCTCAATTTATGGGCGTGCGTCTGTGAATAATATATATTTTTCTGCAAACTGCAGTCTGATTCTTCCCTGTTTCTCATTAATGAAGGGTTTCTTCTTTGGTTTATGGGACCTCAGTCCTGCTTTTAGGAGCCTGATACAAACTGTCCTAGCAGTGCACTTCACAGCTGCACTTAATGTTTCCTGTTCCCTTTGAAGGTCACTTGATGTCACTTGATGTCATCCTACGATTCATGAGAAACTGTCGGATAAGTTAACGGTCAACTCTGGCATTAGAATGTGGCTTCTGCCTGTTACCTGGCTGGTTTATGGTCATTCTTCATGTCTCCTGCTTCACCTTATTTTTGTGTACTGCTGTCTTATATATTTTGAACCTGAAAACATCCTGCTGCTCAGCATAGCCTTCTGGCAGCAGAACCACAATTAAATCATGATTTAAAAATGCGATTTGTTTAAAAATATAGAGTGGTCTCTTAATTTTTTCCACGGCTGTCTGTGTATATACTCAGCGACAAAAAAAGTTAAGCACCCAGAAGTAATGGTTCGAGTTGGATGTAATTAGGTACATGTGCAGACCAGCGATAGGTATGATTCGATTTGCAAGACAGCATCACCAGCACTTGCCGGAGTTTAATAGGGGTTGCATTGTGGGTTTGCATGAGGCCAGGTGGTCGTATTGTGCAATTGCCTGGCATGTGGAGCATGCAGATGTCACAGTCGGAAGTTGGAACCAATGGGCATGTAAGGGCACCCACACACATTGTGAAGGTTCCGGTTGCCCAATACAGACCACACCAAGGGAGGATCATCCTATTGTGTGCCAAGCATTACAGAACCCCATGACATTTGTGCCTGCCATCCAGACACAGGTATTGGACTCTCTACAATACCCCATGTCATCCCGCATTTTGTCTCGACGACTGGCATCAGCCAGACTACAGGTTCACCATCCCATGTGTAGGCTGCTGTTAGCACCTGGGCAGAGACGGCTGTGTTTGGAGTGATGCCATAACCGGGATGCATGGACTGATGACGAGTGGCGTCGTACCATGTTCAGCGATGAATGTTGGTTCTGCATTATCAGGGATGACATGCGTGTTCATGTATGGCGGCACAGAGGGGAGAAGATCAATCCTGCCAGTGTTGTGGAGAGACACACCGGCGTTACTCCTGGCATCATGATGTAGGGAGCCATAGGGTATGACATCATTTTGTGGGGAGCCGTAGGGTATGACATCATGCTGTGGGGAGCCGTAGGGTATGACATCATGCTTCAGGTCATCTCTGGTAGTGAGACGGGGGACCCTAACAACACAGCGCTACGTCAGTGACATCCTGAGTCCACATGTCTTACCCATCTTGAGACAGCTCAATAAAAGTGCTGTCAGTAAAATTCACTGATTGGAGGTGGGGAGTATCACATGGATCAACAAAATTTAAGAAGTTTAACTGTTCGCTCTTTTGCTGTGGCCTAGGATAGCCTATACCTTACTCAACCCTTCAGGCTAAGGTTAGTCTTGAATTTTTGCATATGTTTGTTTATTTGTGTTCTCTTCACATCTGTTCACATTTTTTCTACCACTGTAGCAGGATAGTATCAAAGACATATGAGATGTATTGTTAGTCTGTGCACCAATTTCTTCTTCGGTTAGACTACTTCATGCCAGTTTGCTTGGCAGTCAAGCAACCAGTAGCCTACCACTACAATCCATTGTGAAAAGAAAGCTGGGTAGCGTTACATCTCAGGCGGGGTGGCAACTTTGTCTATCCTGATAACTGTCACTAAAAATGCAAAGGACAGACATAAATTAATTGATTATGTTATCATATTTGGGTGGCACAGTGATGCAGTGGTTAGCACTGTTGTTTCACACGTCTGGGACCAGAGTTTGAATCTCCATGTGTGTGGAGTTTGCATGTTCTCCTCGTGTCATTGTAATGTTTACTCTGGGTACTCATTTTGATAACTTGAGTTACCAAATTGGCTGTAGGTGTATATCCATAAATGTAACTAATGGATATTCTGTCATCATGGGTCACCTAGTTTTCTGACACAAGTAACAAGCCCGCTATGGGCAATGGGGCCGAGGCGTGTACAATGATATGACACAAGTATCGAGCACGCTATGTGCAACGTGGCCAAGGCGTGTACAATGATATGACACAAGTATCGAGCACGCTATGTGCAATGTGGCCAAGGCGTGTACAATGATATGGCACAAGTATCGAGCACGCTATGTGCAATGGGGTCAAGTCGTGTACAATGATATGGCACAAGTATCGAGCACGCTTTGGGCAATGGGGCCGAGGCGTGTACAATGATATGACACAAGTATCGAGCCCGCTATGTGCAATGGGGTCAAGTCGTGTACAATGATATGGCACAAGTATCGAGCCCACTATGTGCAACAGGGCCGAGTCGTGTACAATGATATAACACAAGTATCGAGCCCATTGATGGGCAATGGGGCCGAGGCGTGTACAATGATATGACACAAGTATCGAGCCTGCTATGTGCAATGGGGCCGAGGCGTGTACGATGATATAACACAAGTATCGAGCCCGTTGATGGGCAATGGGGCCGAGGCGTGTACAATGATGTGACACAAGTATCGAGCCCTCTATGTGCAATGGGGCCGAGGCGTGTACAATGATATGACACAAGTGTTGAGTGGGGCCAGGGTCACACTTGAAGTTTATATAAGTAATAATGTCACAAAAAACATTGCGGAAAACACATTGTGAGAGCCTAGCGGGTGCGAGTGGGGCAATGGTGGGCTCTGCCAGGTGGCCATGGGTGACACTTGTGCCTTGTCCTCTGTCACAAGTGTAAGTTGGTTTCTGTTTGTTTTTGACCTTGGGACTCTCATAACACAATAAGAAGCGCAACAGTCCGGAGCGAATCCCATCCCTGCTTATCTGTCCGGCCTGAACATACCTAGTCCTCAGCAGAAGCTCTCTCTGCCCAACCCCATATCACATGCTTGCCACCCCAATCGGGACACTTACGCAGTAATTTAAAAAGTTATTTAACTTTAAGGTCTGCTTATTGAAAGGCAGATTTGAATAGAATAATCTAAATAAAGACGGGTCAGAGTGCTTGAGTTCTTCTTGTTAAGTTATATAAGCACGCTAATGAAGTTCTGTGGGCTGAAATGTTTTTGTCACACCCGTGGCAATTCTGAGTTCAGACCTGATCTTTATTATTGCTGTTGTATCGCATTGTTGACAAACGGACGGTATCAATCATCTGAGAACGTAAAACATGATATTTTAAGTTTTTTCTCTTTGAATTAAATAATAAAATCTTAAGCATGTGTTAGCTAGTGTTGCAAGTGTTAAGAGAAACTGCTGCTGTAAAAAATAAATAAAATATGTTCTATATGTGTAGAAACTCCAAATGACTTGTAGTGACAAGCATCTAAAGTTTAGTGTGATTCATGCATTTTCATAATGCAGTGATCACACTTTCCAAAGGGTTATGGGGACTGTTAGCAGTGTTATAATCGTTTAGTTCATCCTGATTGAGGAGGCATTTGGGAAAAGTCTTTAAAAAGGATATCTTTTTTGAGTTTTAATATTTTTAATTCAATACTGTGCATCATAATGGTGCCAGCATTAAAATAGATTGTTGTGATAAATGACTAGCTGTTTAACTGCCTTGCATAGGGCTGGGTTCAGTGCTAATGCACATCGTTGTCAGCTTTTATTGCGCTCAGAAAGTCTAGAGCAAACTACATGAGAACATGTACTGTTTTGGTTCCATCTGCTTCTGCTAGTCAAGTCTCAGTGAATGAGGTGCATCAGAAGCATGGCTGGGTGACAGAGTGTAAGATCATGGTGGCGGGGGTCTCATCTCCAGTCTCTGCCCACAGCTTTCTCCCTGGAGGGCTCCGCCATCAGCTTCCCCGACCTGTGCCGCCTTGTGGCTTTTTACTGCATCAGCCGGTAAGCCCTGATCCACACCCCCCATCCAGCTGGACCAGCGCCACCTGCCAAAGCAGCCTCGCTAAGCTGAGCCGCTGTGACTCAGGGACACGCCAAAGCTGTGTGCCGCTGTCGTCATGTAGTGGGATGGGACAGAGAAGTAAATGTGTGATCTGTTCCAGGGACGTGTTACCCTTCCCCCTGGAGCTCCCAGAAGCCATTGCCAAGGCCTCATCCCACGGACAGCTGGAGTCCATCTCACACATGGGGATAGGTATATACCACCCAAATGTCACCCCCCCAGTGTGGGGGTGTAACGCATCTCACATGATAACAGTTAGCAGTGTCACTTCATCATTGCCTCTCTGCAGAGTTCTGGAGTTCCCACTTGAATAATGGGCAGCCCTCAACAGACCAGCTGGCCGATGGCTCCACACCACAAGAAAGACCGGGCCCATCCATGGAGATGTGCATGCAGCATACCCGGGGCTGCCAGGGGGCACTGTGCTTCATCAACCCCCTTTTCCTGCAGGAGCCTCCCAGCCGTGGTGCCCTGCACAAGCGCCACCGTTTCAAGCGCAGCCTGCGGGTCCGCGTTTCCACAGAGACCTCCTGCAGCTTGTCTCCAACCTCCACCTCACCCCCGGTGGGTCTGCCACCTTCTGGTTGCCCAGAGGACCAAGACTGCATGAGGAAAAGGGCCACAACAGCAGCACCCCCTCTGAGGAGAACCCCCGCGCTCTCTCCAACCTCTGAAGAGGATGATTACCAGATACCGCTTACTGCGGTAAGGGCTCAGATCCATCTCCAACACAGTTTATCACCCCAAGCTACAGGCCCTGTTCAGTATTTCACTGTGAATGGAATCCTGCGATATACACCTGAACTAGCCATATGTGTGGGTGAAGGGCTTGAGTCGTTTTCCTGTGGTGTTCCCCAGGGTGCTGAGCCCCCCATCCCTGGGGAGGAGGCTATGGTAGATGCCGGGCTGGCCTTGGAGCGCCAGCGGGCGCCCTCCCTCTCCGAGCTGGACAGCAGCAGCTCCTTCAGCAGCCTGGAGGAGGTGGAGGAGCGGCCGGTGGCACCCGCCCTCTGCAGGGCCAGCGCCGCCTTTGTGTCGCTTTTCGCCCCTGAGAAACGTGTGGCCCAGCTGGTGGAGGAGCTGTCCCGGGACCGGCGCTCGGCCTTTGGTTCACTGGTGCAGGACTTCCTGCGGCGCCACCAGGAGGAGCTGAAGCCCTCTGCTGTGCTGCTACCGGCCAGGGAGCTGCTGCAAGGCCTGCGCCTCTTCCTGTCCCAGGCCAAGGGCTTCCTGCTGGACTGTGGGGAGCTGGAGCCCCCTATTGAGACCCTGGTGCCCGAGAACGAGAAAGGTACAGCAGGGTTGGGGGGACTCTGGGCCCCCTGGGGCCTCCTGACCGAGTCTTATTTCCAGACAAACAGGGTTGTGAAGGTGTTAGCAAACTGCACTGTGAAAGCTGACAAAGGACACATGTACGGGTTAAAGCTCAAGTCACGACTACATTATCGAGCTGCGCTGTTCTTTATCCAGTGCAGTTCATCTCATCACATATAGGTGAAGAATGCTTCAGGGTTTACAGGAAGAATCCACTTGCCCAGCCTAGGGTTAGCTGACATACAGGCAGTGAGCTTTGCCTTGCCTTGGAAATGTGCACAGCTCCTGACGAATTGTTCCCCGGACTGCGTGCTGTGGGGGTGCGCGGATACTGGCAAGGCACAGCCTTTCACAAGTGGACACATTTGCTCAGTGATTTGTCCAGTGTTGCGTTGGTGTAGGCATTTGCATTTATCTCCTTATCAGGGAAGATATCACAGTCCCACGCTTAGCTGGAGAGCAGTGATCACTTCTCAGTGTGCTATATAATCCAGCCTAGCCAAGACTCGCTCCCATCATGCATCTGTAATCCACGTTCTCCCCCGACAAGTCTAATAAACCTAAGAGCCATTGTAAATGTATTTATGTGTGTCAGTGTCTATATCATTTTATTTTGTGTGTGTTTTTGTGTGTGATACACACTGAGGTCTTCTCTTCGCCTTGGTGTCAATGTGTGCTTTGGAATTTTGAATGTTGGCTTCCCCAAGGTTGAAGTGTCTGAATTTTGTCTCTGTGTTGGTATTCTGCAGTGATATAAGCCTTTGTATGCTCCTCTGCCAAGCAGCTAATGAAATGGAAATTTTGTCTTGTGTGTGTGTTTGTATATATGCATATGCATTGAATAAGTATGCAGTAACTGCTATAAGGTGTGCAGGAATGTGTTGGACTGAACGCACGTATGTGTGTATGTGTGTGTGTGTGCGTTTGGTGGCAGACTTGGCCCTGGAGAAGGCCATGTTTGGCTGTGTTCTAAAGCCGCTGAAGTCCCAGCTGGACCAGACTCTGCTGGCTCTACACGCCCAGGACGGCTCCACCCAGAGGATGGTGGAGAGTCTGCGTGCCAGTCAGGAGGGCCTGCCGGAACACTTTGGGGTGCGGGTGGGCGTACTGGACTCCCACGGCGTGGAGAGGGCGCGTCAGAAGCTGCTGCTCATGCAGCGGGCATATTCCCCCATAGACAAGGTTCTGCTGCTGCTGCAAGTATGCAAGAGTGTCTATAAGGCCATGGGCAATTCAGGTGAGTGCAGATGACATACAGCAGCTCAGCACATGTGTGCAGTACAAGTTCCTTTAATGTGTTCAAGCATAGAATAAAAACTGGTTGAAAAACCTGGTAAAGAAATGGAATTCAATGTAACAGCCAAGCTGGAAATGCCAGGTTATTACCGGTCTCCATCCCATACATTCAGCTGAAACTCTGGCTTACCTGAGCTGGAGTTGAATATTTCTGTCTCCTTCACTGTTGTTTACCTGGAGTTGACTTTAGCTGCTTGCCAACAGTCACTAGCAGTTAGATTGCCTCTTCGAATTATTTCCGAGCTGTGTGAGTGAAGAAGGACAGAGAGATCTTTGAGTTATTGCCACCCCTGCTTGTTCCTTCTGCAGACCAGGGATTTGGGGCTGAGGACTTCCTCCCAGCCCTGTCTTATGTTATCGTGCAGTGCAACATGCCAGAGCTCCACGTAGAGGTGGAGTACATGATGGAGCTGCTGGAGCCCACGTGGCTCACAGGGGAGGGTAAGAGATGCTGATCGCCTGCCTGCAAAGGGGGTCTGACAGGGGAGGGTAAGAGACGCTGATCGCCTGCCTGCAAAGGGGGTCTGACAGGGGAGGGTAAGAGACGCTGATCGCCTGCCTGCAAAGGGGGTCTGACAGGGGAGGGTAAGAGATGCTGCATTAGATGCCTGCCTGCTTGCTAAGGAGGTCTATGAACTGTGTAAGTAATGTTAACTGTACATTCGCTGTTCTTGTCAAAGGCCTGACAGTAGAAATATTTTTGCAAATTGTATGATTTAAGAGGCCTTCTTTGAAATCAAAGCATACTGGACAGTGGGATTTTTAAATAAGTAACTATGGTAAATAATATTCAGATTGGAATGTTTCTCATTCTGACCCAGGCTGAAGTTGCTCTGTCATGCTTCTTTCACAGGAGGGTACTATTTGACAAGTGTCTATGCCAGCCTGTGCCTTATCCAGAGTCCGCCAGGGGGCAATGCTATAGGCAAATTGACCAGTGAGGCACAGGAATCTCTCAGAGAGTGGAGTCAACGCCGAAATCAGGAGGCCCAGAATCAGAGGGAAGCCCAGCAGAGCCAGGTTAGTCCCCAACAGAGAGCTGTCAGGCCCAAGTGGCCAGGGGGCCCCAGGTTAGTCCCCGACAGAGAGCTGTCAGGCCCAAGTGGCCGGGGGGCCCCAGGTTACTCCCCGACAGACAGCTGTCAGGCCCAAGCGGCCGGGGGGCCCCAGGTTAGTCCCCGACAGAGAGCTGTCAGGCCCAAGTGGCCGGGGGGCCCCAGGTTAGTCCACGACAGATAGCTGTCAGGCCCGAGCGGCCGGGGGGCCCCAGGTTAGTCCCTGACAGAGAGCTGTGGTCCAGCTGCGGACATGATGCTTAGCCTGGTTGCTTCAGCTAGCATATGTGTGAACCACCTTCTAAAAAACCAAATAACCAAAAATACACAAACAGAAAGCCAGTAGTTTAATTTGAGAAATTGTCCATAAAGGTATCTGCTGTTTTTCAATTGCTTCGAAACAAATATATTCTTTTATTTAGGAATTGCTTCGTTGTATAAAGTAATTTTAGTGATTTGCACTGAAATCAGATGGTCTACTTGTGAAGTGAAGGTTCTATTGTAAGTAACTGGGTGTATATAGTTCATGGGAAGGTCCCTACAAGACTTTTGATACAGTATTTTGTGTACCAGTACAGAAAAGACCACAATAAAAAATCTGCTTAATGAAATTACACATCCAGTGTTATTTTCCGCAGCTGTTACTTCTGAGCAACCTGTGGTAGTTTGCATGCTGAACATAAGCATCTGTGTTCAGAATGCACCCATCCATCTCCCAGGTGTGTGGATAGTGGGCCTGTCTATGAGGAACAGGGCAGGATGATAACGCTCCTCATTCAGCAAGATGGTAGAAGCCATCGCTGAGCAGGATTCGCAACCAGTTCTGACATGTTGATGTTTTGTGCTTGCAGAGGTTTGTGCGCGTGCTCTTCCAGGACGGCGAGCACAGTGCCGTGCGGACGCTGCTGTGGAAGGCAGGTGAAGGCGGCGACGCCCTTGCCCAACTCTGCGCCACCAAGTTCGCTGTGGCCGAGCCTGAGCACTACACCCTCTGCTGGCGAAACGGCGGAGAGACGCAGCCAGTGCAGCCCCATGTCCAGCTGCAAGACCTGCCCCTCACCAGCGGGGGCACCCCCACGTTCCTATTCCTGCGCTCTGACCAGGACTTTAGCAAGATGAGGAAGCTGACCAGAGGGGGTGCTGTGGACCTGGGGGAGTCTGTGTGTGAGGAGTAGAGGAGTGGGTAGGTGGGGCTTTCACTCTGCACGTTTTCCTTTGTGACAGCAGCGGGTCAGCCTTGTTCATATTTTTTGCGCTACCTTTGTATCTGTCAGCTGATTTTTTTGGCTAATTTTGAGGGGGTGGAGGAGGGGGAGACCTGAAGAAAAGTTTTATCATGTGTTGAAGGAGCTTTCACCATATCAGATATTGATCATACACCAAGCACACCATGTAACTGTAGAAAATCAGACCTTGAGAAACCCATTTTGTTCCAGTAGACGTCAGTGGCGAGAGTCTCATGGTACCAAAGCTGCACACATGCTCCATTGTAACTATCGCAGGAGTAACACTGTCGCCTGGGCGTGGTCGTCATCTTCCTGCTACGTGAATCATCTGAAGGAGACAACAGGCGCCGTGATACCAGTGCATTTGTGCTGGGTTAGGACCTGCACATTTTTAATGGGGAATCTGCCATCAAGCTCACAACAAGCACGCCAATCAAGATGTATGCTGCAAAAAACATAATGAGGCTATTATTTTCATAAATGTATTCTTATTGAGAGTGTTAAAATGTGTAACTTTTTGAACTATGCTGAAGACGAAGACTGGAGTTGTGATCTCCTTACAAGAAAACAAACATTTATATGTCTGCATTACAGAAGGATTCAGTTCCTCTGCTTTGGCACAGTTTGACTACCCTAAGATCCAGTTCCTTTCCATTGTATCACCTGCTGTTGTCCACTAGGGAAACAGGGGTCAATGACCACTGTAAGTTTTGGTTGAAAAACAGGGCAAGATGACACACATTTGTTACTGACATGTATTTAGGTCCTACAACAAATACTTTAAAACTGTTTTATTATAAAGTCGATCTTTAAGCAGCAACATCAATTTCCAAGAACTTGGGGGTTGTCTGTTTTTTTTTGGAGGCAACTTTGATTGTTTGAAACCAAAAATGTTTAAAAACCTGTCTGACTCCTAATGAATTAAATTGTTCGTTTGAAAACGATTGTCACCCAGCAGAAATAGCTAAATGCCTTGACATGAAATTTTACTAATTTTCCTTCATACTGGAGCACTTTAAACGTATATCAAATATCCTCTGTTGCATTCAAAATTTTTGTATCCAAATGATAAATCTAATATTATATAAGTTTCAATACAATTTGTTTATGGGTGTATTTGCGCATGCATGCAGTGTGTTTTGCAGCGGTGATGTAAAATGCATGTGTTGTACACTTAGCAAAGTCCTTCCAGAGCAAACTGTCCTCCTTTGATCTGCTGCTGCATTGTATTATGCTACAAAAAAAAAACTGCAATAAAATTGAATTATCTCAAAATGGAATTGCAACCCACCTCGAAGTTGCAATTGCTTATTAATTGTGTGGATAATTACAATTTGACAGTTTAACAATCTGAAAAGTCACACATTCTGTTGTGAGGTTTAGCTAAAGCACTTCAGGATCAGCAATTTCCTTAGGGGTAAAACCAGCCATGTTGCCATACAGACCCAAGACGGTTTGCAGCAGCACCAAGAAGCATATTGTGAGGAGGGATGACTGGGTCCCTCCCGCAGTCCAAAGACATGTCATCATGCATGACAGTGCCTGTGAGTGTGCCCTGCGACAGACTGGCATCACATCTAGGGGGCACCTCTGCCTTCTGCCCTGTGCTGTCTGTGATGGGCTTCAAGAACACATTTGGATGTCACTGAAGACCTGAAATGTCCTAAATCATCAGTGAAACGTAACCAGCCTTTTTCGCACATTACTCAGGTTTTTATGCAGTTTACATTGTGCAAATTACTGTAGAAGAAATTTCTAAGTAAATATGTACAGAATGCCAGCGATACCCATGCAAGTACAAGACCACATCATGGATGGAAAGTGTGTGCATGACAGAAAGGCCAGACTGATTGATACAATTCAGTTCTCAATTTTTATTAGTGAAAATAAGAAATTACCAGAGAGATAACATGTATACATATGGTTCCAGTTTAAAAACAGACAAATCATGAATGCACTTTGACATGGAATGTGGTCAAAGTTCTTAAGCTTTCTTTTTAATATATCCATCTATGTGCAATGTATATTTTGACTACTAGTGACTCTACAAATATATTTTACCATATATGAGAAGGAAATTTGTGAGCATTGCAAAAGTAATTCATCTTTTACCATTGTACTTCCTCTTATCTCAATTACAGTGGAAGTGAGATCATGTTTTCATGAAACTGGAAACAGTGGCCCCAGGGCACTATGGGTAGCAGAAGTTGAAGGTGCCTAACAGGAATAGTTTACTGAGAGCCAATCACCAGTTAACTGGAGATCAAATGCACTGAAGTCTTATATAACAACTGAACTTATGTAAACGTTATATAATTTGTTCTATATTAAGACAATGTAACATTAGCCAGAAAGAATACTTTACCATATTTGCATAGAAATACAGCACCATTCCTTTGAAGGTGTTGCATAGGATATAGAGAAATGAATAACACAACTGCATTTTAGAGCATTTTATGGTCAAAAGTATAAATACTTTCTGGTGATACGTGAAGAAGAAACCTGTGATGTACAATATGTGGTACCTGTTTAAGTCCCAGCTGCATGACAATATGTCTGTGTGTGTGTGTGTTGCCAGTTTTGTCAAAGCATAATCTTAAGGCTTGACTACTGGGAAAATTGTGCCAGTCAAATGGCATCTGAGAGTGTTCATGTGTGTATACATGGCAGTGGCTGTGTGTTTTTGTCAATTCGTGAGGCTAAGCAACCTGCTTTGTTAGTAGCTTCAGGTCTAGCATGCTGATCTTGGAGGCTCGGTCACTGGATTTTTTATCATGGTCTCGAGGTGACATGTATCAGCACTTTTATCGCACACTTCGGCCCATTTTATCCAGAACCACAACACCCTTCTCCTGGTACTCTGCCTTGCTGATCCAAAAAGACTCCTTGTCCTTCATGATGTTGGCCAGCACCGCCCCACCCATGAAGACCATGTGCTTGCGTTGTGGTGGATCCTCAATGCGGATCTTAAATTTCTGTGTGGGAAGAAGAGGCAGAGAGAGTCAGATTCAGCCTCACTTTGCTGAGGGGCTGTAAATTGTCACACTCTCTATTCCCCTTGCAATACATTTTTTGGAGTCAAACTCTTGAACTCGACAAGAGTGTCAGTGAAATGTCAGTAATATTGTGTACCAGGTAATGAGTAAGCCTGTTCCATGAGTCACCAAGGAGGATCACACCCAGTGATACTACAAAAGGTAATGTTCATGCCAGTGGCATATTAATACAACAGCACTGGGAGAGTTAACAGCCGAGTGCTGTTTGTGTGTGAGTGCGCATGACTATCTCAGAGTGCCAAGGTATTGTCACTTTTATCACAATTAAAATTGCTTCTGTGTTTGTGATTAAGGGGATATCTGGTGTAATAAATGATTAATACTTCTATTAAGAAAGAATTAAGGACATGAGCCTGCACTGCAGAATGCATGTGAATAAGAGGGGGTGCATGGGGGGTATAATGTCCACTTGTCTGTTTGAAGAAGAGGAGGCCATTCAGTCCATCAAGCTTGTTTGGGAAGAACTCAACTAATAGCTGAAAGTTGTTAAAATCTTATTTAGCTCTGATTTAAAGGAACCCAGGGTTTTAGCTTGCACTACACTAACAGGAAGACTATTCCATACTCTAAGTACACGCTGTGTAAAGAAGTGCTTTCTCAAATACATTTTAAAATGTTCTCCCGCAAATTTCCACTAATAGTTCTTGTATTTGCACTAATATTGAAGTAACTATTTGGCTGAACAGCATCCAGGCCTGTTAGAATCTTATATACCTGGATCATGTCCCCCCTTAGTCTCCTTTGCTCAAAGCTAAACAGATTCAGCTCAGCTAACCTCTCCTCATAAGACATTCCTCTAAGACCAGGAATCATTCTTCTAGCCTTATGTTGAACCCTTTCTAAGGCCGCAATGTCCTTTTTAAGGTATGGTGACCAAACCTGCACACAATATTCTAGGTGGGGTCATTTCAAGGAATTATATAATTCACCTCCCTTGTTTTAAATTCCACACACATAGAGATATAACCCAACATTCTATTGGCCTTTTTTATTGCTTCCCCACACTGGTGAGAGTGGGACATGGAAGCATCAACAAACACACCGAGATCTTTCTCATAATCAGCTATCTTTATGGAATCCATAAAATATCTGTACTTTATATTTCTGATCCCTTACATTTATTTATGTTAAATTTCATCTGCCAGGTATCAGCCCAGTCGCTAATTAAATCAAGATCCCATTGTAGCCTCTGTGCTGTTAATTCAGTATCTACTACACCACCCACCTTGGTGTCGTCTGCAAATTTCTGAAATATTAAAGTTAAAGGTTGGTAAATAACATCCCTCATCACATTTAAAAGTATAGGTAAGATGCCATCAGGGCCCTGCAATTTATTTCTTGAAAAGCTCAAATACAATCTTTTGTTAAAAAAAAAATAATGGAAATAATTCAGGGTTTTATCAATAAAGTTTGATCAGTTTGTAGGTGATTTTGTTCACGATTGTGCTTCACTGACACAGGCCCACATAGCCCCCTGGTTCTGCTGTATGGACATAAGACCCGAAGGACCATGCAAATATGACAAGATCATTACTCCATATTGTTTGCTTGCCTGATTGCATTTAGGTTTTCAATCTCTCTGTGATTTCATAAATCACTCTCAGAGGCAGCCATGCTTATTTTGCAGTCAATTCCCCTTATAGCACACACACAGTGTACACTGCCACTTCCTCCCTGAATCACTCTTCATTTGCCCCTGTTAACCTGCCTATTCTTTAATTGCATCCTGCTCCTGTGGTCTGCTGCACTTTCTATCTGTGATTCACCAAACGATTTTGTGTCATCTGCAAATTTAACTGCCTAATTTAGTCTGTTCCAGCATGTTTCTTGGGTTACTTTTCAAAACGTTTACACTTTGAGGTTTGATCTTCATTTAAATTAACAAAAATTGACATACAAATACCATATTATGTTGTTATGTTCTGTTATGTTGCATCTTAAATATGTCTATTCCATGTCAAATATTTCTATTTAATAATTCCAGTTTAGGTTATGCTAAAACCTGTTCTGGCACCCATTAAATTAAAATCCCACACCTCTATTCTCAGGGCATATACTCAACAGTTATGGCTTAAATACGCTTCTATTGCAAAAGGTGACTCATTAACATAAATCTTGCACCAAGAATTTATTAATGTATTACCATTATTTCATTGAGTTTTTCTATGCTTGTACGAAGCAATGACAGAATTCCAGAAATAACTACTGTATACATTATGTTTGCTAGCTTGCAGAAAAGTTTCTGCTGAACAGTCAGTCTGCTCATATCTACATCATTACCACCAAGGTGAACCACAAGGTGTACCATCGCAAGCTTGCCCACTGGCTTGGTGAGGCCTCTGTTTCAGGCACTGGGCCACCACCATGCTACACAAGGTGTCCTGGTGCTCACACACACAGAACTGCTTGTAGTCATAATCGCAGAGTCCCTCAAAACCGCAGGGATTAGCTGAGTTGCCTGAGCCCGTCTGTCATCTCAGGGCAAGCTTAGCAGCCCCTCTGAGCTGTGTGTGCATTATGTCCCCTAAGCCAGCTGCTTCACGCTGGTATCTAATAGCTCACTCTTCCTGCCTGTGCTAAACACACCCTTAGTGTTAAAGCCATGATAATTCATTCTTCAAATCATCTTGTGGTGAATGGAATGTGACGTCTCTGGAAAGAAAGGAGCCTGAGCTGGTGAAAGAGGTAGAGATATACCGACTAGACATAGTCGGTCTCACCTCAACACACAGCTCAGGCTCTGGAACCAAATTCCAGGAGAGGGGCTGGACTCTATTCCACTCTAGAGTTGCCCATGGTGAGAAGCGCCGGGCAGGGGTGGGTCTAATTATAGCCTCCTGGTTCGGTGCCAGCATGTTGGAGATCATCCTGGTGAACAAGAGGGTCATCTCCTTTCAACTTTGAATCGGGGGATGGGCTACGATTGTTGTTTGGGTGTATGGGTCAAACACCAGTCCAGAGTATCTGGCCTTCTTGGAGACCTTACAGAGGGTGCTGAGGGACTTTAACACTCAGTTATCAATTTTGTAATTATATCATCGGAACTGCTTCCAAATGTTTTAGTCACTTGGGTGAAGAAAGGAGCTGAGCTGTCAACTGAGCATCATCTGTTGCTGAATTGGATCTTATGGCAGGAGAAGATGCCGGACAGACCTGCTAGATCCAAACTCAGAAGATGCAGAACTTCTCTTGCATCCCAAGGGAGTCAAGGGACATTGA